ATTTGTACGTTTGTAGATTTGTTCGTTTGTACGTTTGTACGTTTGTACGTTTGTAGATTTGTTCGTTTTGTACGTTTGTAGATTTGTTTGTACGTTTGTACGTTTGTACGTTTGTTCGTTTGTAGATTTGTTCGTTTGTAGTTTGTACGAGATTTGTTCGTTTTGTACGTTTGTAGATTTGTTTTGTACTTTGTTCGTTTGTACGTTTGTAGATTTGTTCGTTTGTACGTTTGTAGATTTGTTACGTTGTTTGTAGATTTGTACGTTTGTAGATTTGTTCGTTTGTACGTTTGTAGATTTGTTCGTTTGTAGATTTGTTCGTTTGTACGTTTGTAGATTTGTTCGTTTGTACGTTTGTAGATTTGTTCGTTTGTAGTTTGTAGATTTGTTCGTTTGTTACGTTTGTAGATTTGTTCGTTTGTACGTTTGTAGATTTGTTTTTGTACGTTGTAGATTGTGTTCGTTGTACGTTTGTAGATTTGTTCGTTTGTACGTTTGTAGATTTGTTTCGTTTGTAGATTGTTCGTTTGTATTTGTTTGTAGATTTTTGTACGTTTGTACGTTTGTAGTTTTATTTGTACGTTTGTACGTTTGTAGATTTGTGCGTTTGTACGTTTGTAGATTTGTTCGTTTGTATTTGTGCGTTTTGTAGATTTGTTTGTACGTTTGTAATTTGTGCGTTGTACGTTTGTAGATTTGTTCGTTTGTAGATTTGTTCGTTTGTAGATTTGTGCGTTTGTACGTTTGTAGATTTGTTCGTTTGTTCGTCTGTAGATTTGTTCGTTTGTACGTTTGTAGATTTGTTCGTTTGTTCGTTTGTAGATTTGTGCGTTTGTACGTTGTAGATTTGTTCGTTTGTACGTTTGTAGATTTGTTCGTTTGTACGTTTGTAGATTTGTGCGTTTGTACGTTTGTAGATTTGTGCGTTTGTACGTTTGTAGATTTGTGCGTTTGTACGTTTGTAGATTTGTTCGTTTGTACGTTTGTAGATTTGTTCGTCTGTAGATTTGTTCGTTTGTACGTTTGTAGATTTGTGCGTTTGTACGTTTGTGTAGATTTGTACGTTTGTACGTTTGTACGTCTGTAGATTTGTTCGTTTGTGTTCTGTTTGCAAAAGGCTCGACTCACATGAATGAATAATGAATCGATATGTTTTATTCAGCTGAGGCAGGCAGGGCTTTTGATGCTGTCAGAGAAACTTTAATAGGCCACAACAGAGGGGAGAAAAACGCCCCGAGCTACAGCGCTACAGCAAAGCCAAGGCCATTAGGGGGAGTCACTACATCATGATCGCAGCCATTTTCAAGTGCAGCGTGCGCGGGGGTTACAATAACAAGATAAGAGCGCGCTGATGCGAGGAAGAGGAGGAGGAGGAGAGGAGAGGATTAAGAGAGGAGAGGAGGAGAAGAGGACGAAGAAGAGGAAAGGGGACAAAGGAGGAACCGAGGGAGGAGAGGAGGGAGAGAGAAAGAGCAGGAGGGGAGGAAGAGGAGGGCATAAAAAGAGAGGAGGAGAGGAGAAAGAGAAGGAAGAGGAGAGGAGGAAAATGGGCAAAGGAAGAGAAGAGGGAGAGGAGAAGAGGAAAAGAGGAGGAGTGAAAAAGAGAGGAGGGTGAGGATGAAGGGAAGAGAGGGGGGAGAGGAGGAGAAAGAGAGGAGGATAGAGGAGGAGGGGAGGAATAGGAGGATATAAACAGAGAGGAAGAGAGGAGGAGGAGGAGAGGAGAAAGAGGAGGAGAGAAGGGAAAGGGGAAGAGGAGGAAGAGGGGAAAGGAGGGAGAGGGTCGGACGAAGAAGAGGAAAGGGGACAAAGGAGGAACCGAGGGAGGAGAGGAGGATAGAGGAGGGAGAAGGGGAGGAGAGGAGGGAGAGGGAAAGAGCAGGAGGGGAGGAAGAGGAGGGCATAAAACGAGAGCAACGGAGGAAAAAGAGAAGGAAGAGGAGGAGGGGAGGAATAGGAGGATATAAACAGAGAGGAAGAGAGGAGGAGGAGGAGAGAAGGGAAAAGGGAAGAGGAGGAAGAGGGGGAAAGGAGGGAGAGGAGGAGAGGAGAGTCGGACGAAGAAGAGGAAAGGGGACAAAGGAGGAACTGAGGGAGGAGAGGAGGATAGAGGAGGATAGAGGAGGAAGAAGGGGAGGAGAGAGGAAGAGGGAAAGAGCGGGAGGGGATAAAGAGGAGGATATAAAACGAGAGGAGGGGAGGAAAAAGAGAAGGAAGAAGAGTGGGAAAGAGGAGAGGAGGAAGAGAGGAGGGAGAGGAGAAGCGAAGAGGAAAAGAGGAGGAGTGAAAAAGAGAGAAGGGTGAGGATGAAGAGGAGAGGGAAAGAGGGG